TCATATTTAGGACCCTTAGGTAATGACTACTTCTCTGAGATATCTTTTAGATGTAGCTAGTTTTTGGATTTTGAGTCTGTTGGAAGATCCTACTTCTTCAGTTTGTTGGAGATGAGGAGTTGTTGTTTGTTTGACCCAGTCTCTGGTTCTTTGGCATGGTGCCACTGCATTTTCTGTGATCCTTAGTCAATCTCAGTCATGGAATACTAGGACCAACAACCATTTAGAATCATTATATCACTTTTGGCTACAGTAGTACCAATAGCATCAAACATAGTCTAGAAAATGACAAACTTAACTAACCATTAATTTGCCACTTTTAATCATATGAACTAGATTTGTGGTTATACAACAAAATCTAAAACAAACCAGAAAATTATATGCAATATATAAGTCCTAAAAATGTCAGTTTTACTCTCGGGGTAAAAATTTAAACTGGGTAAAGGAGAAAATAGAGAAGTAGAAAAAGAGAAAGATTAGTAGTAAGGTTGGAGGACAAAGGGAGATCACACTAACTTTAGGAAACTGGTGCAGAAGACTAGAAGGAAAGAGAGAAAGGAGAAATGAAAAGAAGGATGGAGTAGAATCATAACCATGAAGAAGCTAGAAACTATGTTCACACTCATATAAAAAGATCAAATGATAAAGGAGAAAAAAATGAAAAAAGCAAAAAACAAAACCAAACCACCACCACCACCACAAAAAACAAAACAAAGTGAGAGAGAGAGAGAGAGGGAGAGACAGAGACAGAGAGAGAGAGAGAGAGAGAGAGAGAGAGAGAGAGAGAGAGAGAGAGATTCCATTTGTCTCTGCGGTCACTGGTAGATAGACAATGCATGGACACCCAGTTCTGATCCATGCTGATCTATACCAGCAAGCCAGCAGTAGCTTTTGGTGGGGTAGTGTATAATCTCAGCAAACCTTCACTCTCCTGCCGAGAGTAGACTCATTTGGCCTGCAGCCATCAACGTAGCTTGTGCAAGTATGAGCCCAGCTTGGACTGCTACATGGAGTTGGAAGAAGCTCTCAGTTCTGAGCACAGCCAACCGATTTCCAAGATGGTTCCCAGCCAGTCCCTGTCTTGTGTGGTTCTGTCTTAGGGAAAAGGTGCTTCTGGATACCTCCTTCTTCTTTATTAAAGTTTGTCATTTCACTCTCTCAATTCATGCTTCAGATTTTTAAAACTGGGTAAAGGAGAGGACCAGGGGAACCACCTCCCTCCTTCTTGTCTTCCTCATATTGTTATATTCTAGGGTGGGATAGTAACTCTCTGGGAGGCTCTTTCTCTGCTGCTTGCCACTCGCCAATCTTGGTGTTTCCTCCTCCTTGTATTTTTTTTAAAGCCTCAGTTTAATTAATTTTTGCTCTGATCTAATACCTTCATTCCTTATACTAACTCTGGATTTGGGTTGTTCTTGTTTTTCTAGGACCTTGAAGTGCATGATTACTTTATTTATTTGGGCTCATTATGATTTTCTGATGTGGACATTCACAGCCATCAACTTCCTTCTTAGGGCTGCTTTCATAGTGTCCTGTCAGTTCTGGTATGTTGTATTGGCTTTAATTTCTCCCTTGATTTTCTGTTGCAAATTGATTATACAAGTATGCACTGTTTAATCTCCACGTTTGCATTATTTCTGTGGCTTATTTTGCCATTGATGTCTATTTTCATTCCACTATGATGATATGAATAAGATCATTTCAATTCCTTCTTTGTATTTTGGACTTACCTTGTGTTAATGGAGACAGTTCTCCTTGGTTGGCAGCCACGTATAATTTTTCAGCCTGATTTGTTAGTTTCTGTGCATTGTACGATTTCTCCTGCTTCTCTGTAGTTTGCAGTTTTCTTGTCATCTCCCTCCAAATTCCCAGTGAGTCACTTCTTTTTTTTCTTCATCAGTTTTTCTTATTTTTTTAAAATCCAGTTGTTTCAGATTCTGGATAGACTATAGTTCATTGCTGGTATTTACTCCACCAAATCTCCTTTCCTCAGTGGTTTTTAATGTTATCAATGTTATAAGGCAAGTGTCTATATATGGCAATTTCTGGGCTTTTGTTCTCTTCCACTTGTCATCCTGTAGGTTGTCCAGCTTTTCCACAAATACATAGAACAAACAAACGTGAAAAAAGGAGAGCTTTATTTTATATCACAGTTTCAAAGCTTTTGATTTATGACCACTTGGTTCCATTTGGTTTGGGCTTGTGGTAGCACAGTACCCCACAGCAGAGCATGTGGTAGAGAAAGCTCAGCTCATGGCTGGGAATGAAAGAGAGGAAGAAGAAACCAGGGTCCTAATATCCCTCTTTGAGGATATACTCCCAGTGACCTGAAGGTAAGTTTCCTACTAAGCCTTATGTTCTTTCTTTCTTTCTTTCTTTTTTTTTTTTTTTTTTTTTTTGTGGTACAAAATTGAACCTAGGGTCTTCACACTTAGATTCTCTCTCAGCCACTCTGCCCTCTACTGTTTGTTTGCTTGTTTGTTTGAGACAGGTCTCACTGTGTAGTTCAGGCTAGCCTTGAAATAGCTAGACTGACCTCAAAGTCGTGGTGATGCTCCTGTCTCAGCTTTCTGAGTGCTGGGATTATAGGCATGTACCAGGCTAGTAGCTTTAAGCCCTATCTCTATTTAGATAAATCTATCCCAAAGGCTCATCCATTAAGGGCCTGGTCACCAGCCCACAGTATTACTGGGAGAATAAAAGGGAAGCATTCCTTGGGCACAATTTCCATTATGTTTCTTCACTTCCATTGAGAGATAGTGTTGTGGGTTGGTGACCAAGCCCTTAACACATAGGCCTTTGGGGGACATTCACCTAAATTATAGCAATGTTTTTATCCTATGTTAATACTATATTATATGAATGGCTATAGCTTTCTAATAAGTCTTGTTATTAGGTAGGGCAAAATAGCAGTATTTTTGCTATCAGAATGGCAAAGTATAATTTTCTTATTAAAGTAAAACAATACTTTAGCTATTCCACATATATTTTAAAATCAGTTTGTCAAGTCCCTGTGTGTAGCCTGGCTTGGTGGCATATGCCTATAATCCTAGCACTTGGGAGAGTGAGCCGAAAGGATCCCTGTGAGTTTGAGACCAACTTGGCTACATATTGAGTTCAACACTAGATTGAACTACATGAGACCCCGTCTAAAACAATGAAAACAAAAACAAGCACCCCCCCCCCACAAAACTCTTTTTTTTAATTTAATTTTTTATTTAAAATATATATTTTAAAAAGGGAGAGATTAAGATGAAAGAGGACATAACAACACAGGTCAGAACAGAACAATTTAAGCAACATAGTGTTTCACCACAGGATAACCCAACATAACAGTAGTTACCATAGTGTCTCTTTCCTTGAAATATTTGAGTATACCTTCGTATACTATAGTATCAAACATAACAAGACAGTGTAAAACCATTCAAGAGGGTAAAAGTATTACAGGGTATTTAGAGCCAACTAACAGAAAATGAACAACGGTTTCTATATTATCTCCTTGTCTATAAAAAATTTTGTTTATATTATCACGTATGTAGAGTATTCATGAATAGGAATCAAGTCGCACAGGAAATACTTCCCAAAATCAATAACTGGGATCACGTCTTATTAAAAAGTTTCTGCATGTCAAAAGAAATCTCCAGCATAGTAAAAACAAAACCCACAAACTGGGAAAAAATCTTACTGAACTGTCCCTCAGACAAAGGACTTCTGTCCAAAAATATAAAGAATTAAAAAAAATCAGGGACATTCCCTTGGGGAATGTCCCCAAAATTCAAAGATCCAATCCAAAAATGGGCATCTGAGATGAATACACAATTCTCAGATGAAGAAATACAAATGCAAATAAATACATGAAAAAAGGTTCATCATCATTACTCATTACAGAAATGCAAATTAAAACCACACTGAGATTCCATCTTACTCCAGAAAGAATGGCCAGGATCAAGAAAACTACCAACAAATAATGCTAGAGAGGCTGTGGGGAAAAAGGAACTCTCCTGTACTGTTGGTGGGAGGGTGGGAGTGTAGACTGGTGCAACCATTGTGGAGGTCAGTTTGGAGATTTCTCAAAAAGCTGGGATTGGAAGTCCCATTTGTTCCAGCTATTCCACTTCTAGGCATATTCCCAGAAGAACTGAAAACATCATAACACAGTGATATATGTGCACCCATGTTTATAGCAGCACAATTTGTAATAGCCAGATCTTGGAAACAACCTAAGTGTCCATCAACTGAGGAATGGGTAAAAAAGATGTGGTATTTTTATACAACGGAGTACTACTCAGCTATAAAGAATGATCACATTGTGATATTTATAAATTGGCACAGCTTGAGATCATACTCATAAGTGAAATAAATCAAACTCACATGTATAAATACCAGATAGTCTCCCTACTGTAAGAAATGGTAAGAATACATAAAAGTATATGGTAATCAGGATTCTCCATTATATTGTTTTGAAGCCTTATAATGTTTTCATTCATTAATTGGAATGGTTTTATTCTGGGGTGTTGGATTTTATTGTCTGTGATGGTATGAACAGTTATTTTGAAGAAAACAAGACATTATAATAGCTAGTGCTGATTTAATATCAGCTTGTTTTGAAGTCCCATCAAGCTTTTGTTCTTCTGTCTCCTTCGGTTTTGTTTTTGCAATTATATTGCAAGCACAATCCTACCAGGGAAAACTAATTTTTAGGATATCAAGGCTTTGAATCATTGATATAATTTTCTCTTCATTTATTTAGGTCTTAAGTAGAATTTAAAATGTTTTCTATGAAATCCTTAAGAGATACACTAAGTAAGTAGACAGCTACTGGTGTCTGTTTATGGTAAGACAGAATAATGTATCATAGGCACCTCAGGATTTAGGAAACACAGTAAGGAACAAAAGAATGTGAAAGCTAATTTGTCCTCTAAGACATTTCTAGTATACATGTAGTATATGTAAGAAAAAAATACTGTAGACAATAGAGTTAATTAATAATTAACACTTACCCCAGCTTTAATGTAAATCGGAACAAATACCCAACCAAGAATAAGGAGCATAAATATAGTCTGAAACCAAAAAGAACAAATGAATCAGATATCCATCTAGGTCAGTTTCTTAAATGAGATGCAAGCTCAGTTACCACCTGGTTTGAGAATAAATACTGGGGACTTTTTTGGTAGCATATCATGTTTTTATTATTTCATGTTTGTAATGCATAATGACTACATTTGGCCTGGAGGTTTGACACATACCACATCTTGGTCAGTTTTTAGTCCCCACCCAACTTGCCTCTTTCCTTTCCAGATTTCCTTCCCATTTATAAAGAATCTAGCTTTCTGATTACTGGAGACTTTTTGAGCACAAAGAACTTGACCTTGAGGCACACAATCTTTGACTTTAAAAGATTCTTAAGTTGGATGCAGTGGTACTTGTGTATAGTCCTAGCACCAAGGGAAGTAAGGCAGAAAAATCTCAAGTTTCAGTACTGCCTAGACAGCTTAGTGAGACCAGGTTTCAAATTGAAGGTAAAAAGGACTAGGGATGTAGCTTAATGGTGGAACACTCTTGGGTTCAATCTCTAGTACTTCAAAAAAAATTGAGGGAGGTTAATTAAGCTAATTCTCAAGGTATTTACTGTTAATTTATTGTTTGTTTACTCTTAGGGAGGAATAAAGGTGGCATATAAATAAATGTATTTATTTATTTATTTTTGTCTTTTTGAGACAGGGTCTCACTGTGTGGTTCAAGCTGGCCTTGGGCTCACTTTGTAGGTCGGGCTGGTCTCGAACTCACAACGATCCTCCTGCTTCAGCCTCCAGAGTGCTGGGATTACAGGAGTGCATCACCATGCCTGGTGTTACATTTTTTTTTTGGTTTTATATAAATAAATTTAAAAGATTGTTTTAAGAAAGAAAAAAATAACTTGAACCATTTTGAAAAGAGGGAGGTAAACTACATCAGAATTGTATACAATTAAAACTAAGGGACTGGGCATTTAGCTCAGTGGCATAAGTGCCTGCCTGGCAAATGTGAAGTTGTGAGTTTGATACTCGGTACCAAGAAAAAAAAAAAAAAGAAAAAAAGGAACAAACTTGGCTCAGGCTTTCTGTATAAAACAGCGAAGTTTTTAGTATGGAGAAAGGAGATATTCAAAGATTCTGAGATATAAAAGGTGGTAAAGAATAGAGTTTCTTATTAGGTTTTGACTTTATAGAATTATTCTTTATTCTTTGTATCCTATAAGAAAAATTATGCAATTTAGAAAGATTAGAGTTTTCTGATCACAACCCCCTCACACACCCAGACAGTTTATATAGAGGCATAGGTTAAGAAGACCAAATTAATACATTCTATTATAATTTGAGTGAATATGTTCCATTTCCTGTACAAAATATTTGTGAATTAAACAATTCAATATTTTATTTATTTACTTTTTTACTTTTTTTGTTGTTTGGTGCTGGGGATCGAACTCATGATCTTGCATTTGCCAGGCAGGTGCTTGTGCTGCTGAGTTAAATCCCTGGCCTCTAATTCAATATTCTATACAGTTTATGATTAAAACTGATATTTCCGAGAAGTTAATTAAGAGACTATAGTATCTAGTTAAATATCTCAAAGACCTCATTTGTACTCATTTTCAGTATGTACAGCAAAAGACAAAACATACACAGATGTTTGAATATATATATTAATATTCCTTTTTCTTACTTGACTAATCTCCTAACAGCACTTTGTTTATTCTATTTCTATGTCTTTTGGAATGTAAATTCTCTGTTTTTTCATTTATTAAGAATTATGAAAAGTAGCAGATTCCATTGAAAATCAAAGGCTTGGTTCTTTCCTCAAGATGTCTTTAATGGTCAAGATTTAAAGCATGTTTTATGGTTTTGAGTTGTATTTGGATGCTGATAAAGATGGAGGGATTATTTGCTGCAAAAGTTGTTACTTACATTCCATTCGAAGGCCCCAATAGTAATCCCTGAAGACGCTCCTATCCCTGCCATGCCAATAAAGTGGCTATTGCCAATGTTTGCAGCAAAAAGAGAAGCACCTATCTGAAAATCAAAAGATGGTTACAGATCAGAACTCTTAGTCTAGTTTCACAAATTCTTACAAATGTATACTATCACTGAATTTCACATATTCTCAAATGAGATTATTCCCTGGACAGAATTCCCATTCATATTTCTTCTGTCTAGCCCCAAACTATGAATTAGAAGCCAAGTAAAGAGGAAGAGAATAAAAAATGTAGAAAATCCTGGCTTACATTGCTACTCTCCATCTGCTCCATTAATGTACTTGGAATTCGCCAATGCAGGAATATTAGCGGGACAGTGATTATTTGAAGTAATTGAAAATGGTTAACAAAGTATTATCTGTGGGATTGGCTTAAAATGGTAAGGTCTGTGACTATGAGGAAGTACAATGTAGCATATAGAAAGTAGTTCTTATAAGTGATGTAATAAGCTAAGTTATATATAACATAATCTCTAAAATTTTATGTGTATATTTTATACTTGTGCACAAACATGTTCATGTGTGCATAAGAGTTATTCTGATAGTTTATATAATACAGTACTTCTAGGGACTGAAATTATAGTTATAGAGTAGTGGAGACAAAATTCTGAGTTCTATCCTAGACAGAAACATTGCATGTGTGTGCACACGCGTTTTTACAAACAACATGTGTTACTTTCAAAATTTAAAAATCCTAATAGCATTTAAAAGAAGCAAAATACCTCCGAAAGCTACAATCACTTTTGAATGGAGTAGAAGTATCTATCCATTTGAAAGGACAATCCAACTATTATGCTATTGCTATCAGACACATTTAAAACCAAATTATCAAGAGGCTGAAAACAACAAGGCTTTTAGGTGAATGAAAACAAAAATGAAATTGCATCGATGATAATATCATAAAATAAATTAGTATACAAGGCCAAAAACAGTAAGACAAAAAGTTTTTAACAATTTTAAATGTAAAATGCACAAATAAAACGTAGTTGTCATATGCAAAACATCTTGGAAGTAACAAATGTAAGGCAAAGAAATCTCAGAAGGAGCATATAAGGAGTCCTCAAGTAGTGGTAGTTATTTTTATTATTAAGAATCTTTGACTACATGCAAAATATCATCCAGTGTAAACTGCCTGATAATGTAGAGCATAAATAGTGAAATATCCATACAATTTAACACTGTGCAATGTGTAAATATAAACTATCTGTATCTATGTTTATAGGCTTCAAAACTATTTTTAGTGTGTTAGTAAATGGAAAAGTATTTTATATAATAATCACTCATCAATTCAGTAACAATTAATGCCCATTGACAAGTACTGTTTTAGGTGTTAGAAATACACTGGTGGGTAAAACAAAAATGAAATCCCTGCCCTCCATTCTGTTGGGAAGAAGAGAAACAATAAGCATAATAAATTACAGGATTAGTTTATAGCATAACAGTAGTGAATACTATAGAGAAAAAGAAAAGTGATAGAAATATTTTGTTATAAAGGTGGTTGGTATAGACTGTCCTGAGAGCTGAAAAATACCAGAAAAGCTGCAGTTGCAGTGAGTGGGGCTATCTGGGCAGAGCATCCACACCGAAACAGCAGCAGGTGCAAAGGACAGGCATATGAGGAGAGAGCATTCAAAGACACTGTCTCAGCGGAATGTGGTACCCTAAGAGGCGACAGTCAAGAGGGTAGTAGGGTAAGATCATCTGTGGCCTCATGGGGGACTTTTAAACTGTGGAGCCTTGATTCTGGGTAAGATGGGAGCCTTGGAGGTTCTAAACAGAGAAATGTCTCCACCTTATTTAAGTGTTAACAGACTCCCTTTAGCTGCTTTGTTGAGACTGGATATAAAGGTGCAAATGTGAAAGGTGGGAGCTCAGAGAAGAGGCTAATATAACTAACCTAGTCTAGAGAAGCTGTCAGGCACCAGATATACTGTTTAGATTGAGTCCCAGGATTTCTGATGGACTGTATTATATATATATATATATATATATATATATATGAAATTTTTTTTGTACTGGGAATTGAACTCAGGACCTTGTGCTTGCCAGGAAGGAGCTATATCTCTGGCCCCCTGGATGGTATATGATATTTGAAAGAAAATGAAAGGTTTAAGATGACATCTTTTGCTAACTCCAAAAAATGGAATATTTGAAGTGCTGTTAATGAGATAAGGAAGGAGGGAGTCTTGCAGAGGAAAATCCAGGATTCCCTTTGGGACATGTTTAGTGTGAAATCCCAGATTTAAGTGCAGATATTATAGACAGCTAAGGCAAGTAGAAATACAATAAGCAATCAGATAAGGATGGGTGATCAAGAAAGTCAGAGCAAAGATGAGAACTCATTACAATTGTGGCTGGAGGATTATCTTTTGGAGACCTGGACTCAAGATAAAAATGGAATGACCATGCCTGAGATAAGTTGTATCACCTGGTCTAATGAAGCCTAGACAGACATCAGTCACCTTAGTGGATGACCAAGACCCTCAGATTCATTGCTTTCTAAAAAAATGTTCTTTGTTCTTTCCATGTGCACTTGCTATGTAACTTACTTCCCTATGGGATCAATATTATCTAAGTGACTATACTTATAATCTTATTGGTTGATTATAGGTGTAATCCTCATTATACCTATGTGGTTGTGCTATGAACCAAGTTGGATTGCCAAAGGCGGAGCGTAACTGGAGAGAAGTGGTCAGTAAGTAAGGACTCGGCAGGTCTATGGGGACCTGGGGCCCTCTTAGCAGGACTGAGAAGCTGAGGAGACAGGGAGGAGTCAACAAATGTGTCTAAGCAGGGGCTACTGACACAAAGACAATGAATGGGGAGGACAGCCTGGGAGCCAGCTGATCAAATAGTAAAGGATAAAGAACTGATGATTTTAGATGCCATAGTAGGCTGGGTAAGATGATTGAGAACAGAGCACAAGAATAGGTGCTGTGAGGGGTTGCTGTGGTCCATGACAAAGAGCCACTGGTACTCATTAGACATTTGAATAAAAAATATAAAGGATGAGAGAGTGGTAAATTTATTCTTAAATTCCAGTTTTCTTTTATAACATCATAGTATATTTTGCTCATTAAATAATAATTCTTTTTTATTTTAAAGAGAAAAAACAATAAAAATGATATAGAATTTCAAAACAAGATAGGAAATTAACAATGGTTATTATATTGCATATTGTTATCTTCAAAATAGTTGCTCAGATTATCAGATATAGACATGCAAAATTGATCAAACAATATAAGCACTAGCTGTTCCTTTCAATGAACTAATCAAATTAGTAGTACAATTATCTTAGCTTTCTTGTGCGTATATATATTTTCCCCTTTTTTCTTTTCTCCTTTTCCCCAACCCAGTTGTTGTTTCCTTTTGAGCAGTTCTAATAATGAAAATACTGATAAATCAAAATACATGCAAACATTGAGAAGTTATAGTATATTAATATCTTCTAAAAACTATTATATGTGCTATATCATAGTTATACAGGGAAACATGGCTACAGATTTCTGCTTTCTATGGTACAGAAAACACTTTTTTGAGGCTCAGACCAAATGGGGACTTCACAGACAAGGAGGAGATGGTGTTGCTAGAATCTTCCACTAAAAAATTAAGTAGGAGGCCCAGAGCAAACAGTTCTTTGCTGCATCGATCTCTTCCTAGGCTGGGTTTATAAAAAATAACATTAAAGCATAATTCAGAGTTAAAAAGAGTTTTCCCACATATCTTTCAGATAACATAAATAAGGCTATTTCTCTTCAGCTGTTCAACAGAGTTAATGGCTCTGCTTTTCTCTTTTCTTGATGTCCTAGTCATTTTCCTTGTCATGGAGACACAATATCTAATGCTTACAAACTAGAGAGGTTTATTTTGACTCATGTTTACAGCCCATGATTGTTTGGCTTCAAGGCATAAACGGCATGGTAGAGGGTCTTGGTCAGAGAAAAGCCGCTCATGTCACCTTTGCCAGAAAGCAGAGAGAGAAGAGAGGGGTGGGGGAGGAAGATACATCTTTCTGGGACACAATCCCAGTGACCTGCTATAACTTGCCCTACTTCCTAACAGCAAGTCAGCTAAAGTGCCCCCCCCCCATCCAAACACAGGAGGCACTGGGGGCTGTTTTAGATGTAAAGCATAGCACCTTGGCAACTAGGCACTTTCTCCTCCTGAGACAAGACTTCCTTCTATGCTGCATTATCTTGATGTGAAAAACTGAGGCAGGAGGTAACTAAGGAAAAGGCTTCAAAAGGAAGAGACCTGCCTTGAAGCCTGCTGTATGGGCTAGATGCAGGCATAAGCTAACAGGGAAACAGCTGGATAAAAAGGGAGGCCACTTGATAGCCTGCTTTTTGGGATTAGATCATCTTCTGAGTTAAACATTAGCCCAGGACCAGATCTAAATACAATGGAAAAAGGTAGCCAGGTAATTTTAGTTCATACACAATCAGTCCCCCTCCAAGGCCCAGTGGTCATCTGCAACCTTTGACCAACTCAACTCTAATTACTATGTCACTGATTATACAGATTTAATTTCCTTGTGGGCTTTGTATGTCAGTACAGTTCCTCTAAGGAGCTGAGTCAAGCCAGTCATTGGCTGGAGTCACACTGTGATAGTTAACTGTTGTGTCACCTTGAATAAGAAACGGGTAGCTATTCGGTTTAGCACAGTTCTGTGTGTCTAAAATGTGGAACTACTGAACTACCCAGGTGGTCTTCAACCACGTCTTCAACCAATAGGCTTGAATCCTGGACGGAATAAAAAGGGAAAGAAGGAGAAATTCTTGCTTCTTTGGAGGAGGAGCTCCAGTCTTCACCATTACTTTTGGATGTGTCTCACCAGGCTTCCAGTGCAGATTTTTCAGCCTTCTAGCACAGATTCTCTGCCTTCCGATACAAAACCTTTTTTTTTTTTTTTTTACTGACTCACATGAGACTCTGTAATGAGCTCCCGGCCTTTGACTTTTGACTGTGTTCTCTGGCTGTCCAGTGCACAGATTCCCTTTATGCATTCTTCTATACTGCACTCTGCAGGTGGTCATTATAAGCCTACCATGTAAATCCTCCATGTATCATATATATAAGTTTATTTATCTAGCAAACTCTGATACATATACTTCAGACCAAATCTGCAATCCTACCCCAAACAGTGAGGTTTAAAACCTTCAATGCCAAGTCCCCTCAGTGCTGTGAGCTCTTCTCACTGGCCTGCTCCCACCTGGTGAAGTATATTTTGTCTTTTTCAAATAACTCACCGATCCTGGTCTACTCTTGGGATCCTGCTTTGTTCAGAACATCCAAGAACCTGGATAAGATCCTCCCCCCACAACCTGGTAACAAAACCAAATCCTTTACAGAAGATGGGTTAATATTTGAAGACAGAGAATAAATGATTAAATAAGATCCTGACTTTTGCTCAATTCCTAAAGGAAAGTTAGAGTCCTATGTGGGAAATGTACACATATATTTCATATAGTAAGTTATAAAGTGGCTCTGGTTTAAGCTTGACATAAGCTCCTGCTCCCTGTCCCACCCACTCCAAGATATAGGGCTGTGGATGGCCAGCTGCCTCTGCTGTTTGGGTTTTGTGTCACTTTTCCCAGACAGAATCACTTTGTATAATCACTACATTATTTAAAACAATTGATCCTACCTTCCAACCTGGCCCTCTCCATGGAGTACCATGTTGCTCTGCATTTCCATGGGTTGGCACACTCGGTTCCTCCGCCCAGAATGTCCTCACACTTAATAGTGTAGTTGGTAAACACCCACCTGCCAGGCCTGCTCACACAGTCCCACCCCAGAAAGACCTTTCCTATGGTGTTCTACCCAGTAACCCAAGTCTACCTTTCCTCTATACCTAATGGACTTCTTATCCTGCACTCTAATTCTGTAAGCTACACTTCCTCATAGTAGGGCTGTCTATTTTCTGTATATGTCGGGGGGCCTAGAACAAAGCCTTGGGCAAAGCTACCTAATAAATGGTCAACCAAACAGAAGTGAATGGAAACATTTAGGTAAGATAATACTTAAGAATCAAGGGATCTACTCGTTAAATGGCATGTCTGACTTAGCAACTTCGAATTATTTGGGTATCTGACATCTAAACTAACAAGCTAATACAAGCCTCCTCCTCCAAGTGGATTGCCATATGCAAGACTTACTCACCAGCCACCATGTGAGATTTTGGTCAGCTAGGAAGAAGCCTTTTATTGTTGAACGGTCTCTGGATAAAGCCTAAAACAAAAATGAACAGTACTCCAAATAGAATACATGAATCCAAACTGCATTACAGACACAAGTCTCTTAAACAGATGACATTCATTTATTAAATCCTTTCTTCCTTTTTTTCTCCCTTTCTCCCCCCACCCTTCCTTCTGTGGCTTCCCCTCTCCCCCTCCTACTCTGTACTAACAGGAACTGGACCCTCAGTTACATCAGAACCACACTGACATTCCAGGTAGGCTGGCCTAAGGAGGCACTCCTCCTTCGCCGCCTCCCTGTCCGCAGTAGCGGTGGAGACCACCAGCTCCCAGCCTTTGCGCCGGCAGTGCGGCAGTGCGGTGGCCTCAGCTCTGCACTCTAAGGTGCTGACTGCCTGTCTCTTCCCGCCCAGCCTCGGTGCACACACCCCGCCCCACCCGGGCAGAGGCGGCGCGAGGACCAAGGCGAGGGTCCACCTTGCTGCTACGGAGTTGCCTCCTCGGCGCTGTGGCGTCGCCTAGCAACAAGCTCTAGGCTGCTCCAGCAGCTTGGGAACAGAGGACCGTTAAAGCCGGGCCCATCGAGTCCCACAAAAGTAGTAGCGGGGATAGCCCGCCAGACTGAATTTATTCAAAAGGGTTCCCATATTATTGGTTGAATCTGCAGATACGGAACTCCCAGATAGGGAGGGCAGACTGTGATTAATGGCATGGTTGGAGGGATTCCCATCATCATCCTGGTTATCACAACAAGGACACCTTAGGTTCCAGGCAGTGGGTGTAGGCGCATTTAATCCGTTTGATTATTTGGGGGTTAAGAGGCCTTTGTATATGTGTGTGGGTGAGACTAGTATCACTGATTCCTGGCTGGAAGGTTAAGGAGTAGCTAGGCAGAGGGTGGAGCAGTCTCCTTTCAGGGCTATATGAAAGAAGACGCCAGGATGCAAGGTGGGGATCCAGTATTGGCGGGGAGGGGTCAAATCCACCCCAGGTCCCAGCTCCGCCCATACCCTTGGCCAGCCATACCCGTAGGCCAACGTACAAGACCAGCAAGAGGTACATAGTCAAAATCAGTGTATCCTTCCAGCTGGAGGTACCAAGGCCCATAGAGCTCCAGTTCCAGATTTTACCATGGATCTCATGGAAGCCCATGGTGACGGTTCTGAATCAGTTAGGCTGCAATGGCTTCAACTCTAGTTTGCCGGGCTTTCTGGGAAGGACTGCAGGGCATTCTGGGAAGGGCTGCTAGGCATTCTGGGGAAGATTTTGGGCCAGCCTTTAGGAGAGGGAGTCAGTGACGCCAGCATTAGTTTCAGGTTTGATTTGCAGGGCGTCTTGGGAAGGGCCAAACTTCAGTTACGTGGGTGTTCACAGCAGCTCCTGTGACCTAGTGCTGACTAGGCCGCAAAGAACTCCTTACTCAGCTGGGATTGACCAGATATGCTAGAAAATGTTAAGCAGCTCTTGGTGGCTAGACCAGGCCTAATGCTGTCCCTTGTCAGCCACAATCCTGTCATGCTTAGCTAAAGGTCATTGGTGGGAGGGAGGAGCATGAGACTGTGGGAGGAGCATGAGACTGTAGCAGGATCAGTTAAGGATGTCTTTCAGACTCATACAAGGATCTGGGACAGAGGAAACTGCTGATACTGCTCCTGTTTTTATTCGTGAATTTGGAATTTTGTTCATAGTGGATTTTTGCATTGATTTTGATTGATTAAAATATTGTGCTAGAATATTAGCTGTGTTGAATACTGGTTTTTTCTTGTCCCCCTCAAACTTTACATCAAGGCCATGGCCTCAACTCACCTTACCCAAAACACATCTCTGGTTTAAAGAATTGGTGGCGGAATATCCTCAGGTCTTTGAAGTTTGCTCTTTTATGGTGATGTGTGCATTTTTAATCTGAGCCAAGTGTTATTTTTTTGGTGCATTTGTTAAATGTCTTTTAATTAATCTTAGTAATACTAATGAGCTAATAATGAGGTAGAAAGAAAAGGAGGGCTGGTCCTTTCCATTTCCCTCTGACAGAATAGGGCATGCCTCTTTCCCTTGTATCCCTTGCCTGCTCAGGGGTTACCTGGGTACTAGCCCCAGGTCTTCCCAGCATCCCTTGGGGTACTTTGGAGGTCACATTCCTAGCTGCAGTGATTGGAGTTGAAACCCTGCTAACAGCAGGGAAGCCCGTCCCTGGCTCCTGCCACCCCTGGTAATGCTGCTGCCTCTCTCTCAAGGAAAAGCAGAAGGCTGACAGGGCTAAGACTGGGAGGGATTGGGGCCCATGTTAATATCTCTGGAATCCCTAAACTCAGGCTTTCGAAACTGAAATGCCAGATGACTCTGTCCTGTGACCTCTAGATGACTCTACCCTCTTGTGTCATTACTTTGAAAGTTTTTAAGCAGGTTCAAGAAATGCACAAAACTGGAGGTACAGGCTGTTTTTGCTCTATATAAGCAGCACTTACTAAGCCATACTCCTGCAGTAACAGTCTAAAAGTCCCACTTGTTCAGGTGATGTCATGCTGTGGCTTGGGGCATATTATTTTGTGAACAAATACTTCCTTTTTTTCTTCAAAGAGAACCTAAAATCTGTCAGAATTGGTGTTGAGTAATTGGCCCCATATGTGAATTAGATATATGCATTCTGAGAAGAGGCTTTGGAATTCTGAAATTTTAGTCTCTGCCTCCTTTTTCTTGAAAGACATCTTCAGGTTCTCTCCTGTGCTTTTTTATAATTGGAATGTGATCAGTCTCATAGTTATGCCTTCGGGGGAACTGACCTTCTGGGGGGAATTGAAAGAAATTACTGTAAGAAGAAATTTCCATAGGACTTGAAACTAATCAGCAGTTGAATCTTGGGCCTTGTTGGTTTGTTGATTGGAAAGGCCTTTTTGCTTTGCCTATTGGAAATTTTTTTGTTGGACGTGGGTCTGAATTCCTCAAATTTCCTTGTGTTTAATTCTTGCTACCCTCCACTCCGTGTTGCTATAACTGCTGTCTTTGATGATGATTTGTAACTGTAGATTTTTTCTTATCTGGAAAATACTGATCCCAAGACTTATTGGAAGTGCTGTTCTTCTAATTCAGTCTGTTGTTGACTGTCTTTCCTAAAGGTTGAGAGGAAATAACTTTTCCCTTTCGTATTTGATTAGTGTACCTCTCATCACAGACAGTGGCCAAAGAGGTAGCAAGCATAGGGTCTTTTTTAGTGCTCAACTTTGCAGCTCCCCTTTCTGATAAAAGTCCTACTATAATTTGGTCATTCTAATGGGATTCACTGTTAGGATACCTTTTATTAATTGGGACAGTTTAAAGAAAAATGTTTAACGAAAGTGAAGTAATTTTCTTTTGTAATATAGCCTGGCTTCAGTATAAATTGTGGGATCAAGAACACTAGTTGGAAAGGGGCCTCTGAATTTTAACACCATTATCTAGCTAGATTTATTCTACAAAAGGGAGGAAAAGTGAGAAATCCTCTACATAGCTTTCCTGAAGCTATACCAGGACCCTAGATTTGAGAATACTTGTCAAGCTTGAGTGGCTATGGTATCTAAATCCCCTAAGCCCAGAGAAGATGACACAGACATTCCAACAGTGACCCGCCTCCAATCTGCACCCCGCTGGTGGATTTACATACTTCCCCTATACCCAGCACCTGAGGCAGGGCCATTCTCTCTGTCTTCACTGTGATCTGACAGTTCCACCTCTATGACCTGTTCCTCACCCCAGGCAGAGGCCTCTTTGCCTCTCTTCCACTCTTAGTCACCTGTGCCACCAATTCTATCACCAATTAGATTAAGACCAGGGAACTAACAACCCATCTTACTTGGGAGATTCTGTTCCCATTACAGGAGGTGTCAAGCAGGGATGATGAAATTATCAAAGTACATGTTCCTTTTTCAGTGATAGACATAGCTAGTGTAAAAAAAGATTTGAGGTTTTCAGAGAATCCTGATGGATTTAAGAATGAATTTGTAATCTGAGCCTGTTATCAGGTAAAGTAGGAGTAGCAGAGTCTTCTTGATTCTTATTGTCCTGTTCAATGAATTGGTCAGCCAAATTGGATAATGTGGAAGATTGCTGTTTATTTTAGGGCAGAAATAAATAAGAAGAGAATTACAAAAGAAGAGCTCAAGGAGCAAAGGAAAGACACATACATCCTGCAAGCAGAATGAGCCACTGCAAGAACAAGAGGGTCGCGGGGCTGTGAATTCTTGCCGTTCTTTTTGTATGTTTCAGAGTTGATCTGCTGTTCTTTTGTATGTTTGATGGTTGATTCAGGTGGCCCCACTTGATCTTGTGCTAGAAGGTTGGTATCAGGCACAGACTTGGCTTGTTCTCATATCAGAAGACTGATATCAGGTGCTAGATCTGGCATATTCTCATGTCAGAGGATTGGTACCAGTGCAGGGCTCAGGTTGATTTCCTGTCAGATTCAGGAGCTGCTTGCTTTGCATTGGTGGTTAGCTAGTCTTTTCAATTGGCTGTTTGTAACTAAGTGCTCCTGTCATTTTGCCATGGCCTAATCTTCTGCTTGAGCCCTATCTTCTGTCCTTAAGTGGAGGAATGTGACTGCAGTATTAATTCATTGCTTCATTCCTGACGAGAAGGAAGTAACTGATGAATTGTCAGCTAACACCTCGTGTCATGGTATCCAGAAGCCCAGCGAAGGCACAGTGTACTCTACATAGTTCCTGCCACCCTGAAACTGTTCATAGTGCAGGGGTGGAGTATCTCATAACTTGTATCTCACATGGGGTGAAGAGGTAGATATCCAGCTAAGCCTGTCAATCCTAACAGAGTCAAAGAAGTAACCTAGGAGAGAGAAAATTCTGTGATGTTTTTAAACCACTTGTAGAAGCCTTTCAAAAATATACCAATACCAGTCCAGAGTCAGTAGATGGAAGTGCACTAAATGCCATACATTTCATGAGGCAGGCTGCCCCGAATAGGAGAAAACTACAAAAGCATGACGTAGGACCTCAGGCTCCACTTTTGACTTTGGTAGAGGAAGCTTTTGAGATCTATAATAACAGGGATCAAGCAGAAGAGGCTCACAGGATAAGATATTGGAGAAAAGATAGAAATGAGAGAGCTATAAAGAAAGATATAGACCTGAAGGGAGAATATTTTTGGATAAAAATGATTTTGTATGATCAAAGTTTGCCCTGAAGACCTCATAGTAAATTGCAGACATTCTGCAAGAGGTCAAGTTTATAAAAGAAGATTTGCATGTGTGGTGTAATTTGTATCCAAAAGGAGAGCCCAAGCAGTGGAGCAGGAGAGTTATTTGCATGATAATTAAACAACCTCCAGAGCAGAGGTCCCCTCCCTAGTGCTCTGATCAGGAGAATAGAGAGGCTCAGACTAAGGGTATATCAGAATCTAACTGGGGTAGTCACATAACCCCATCTGTCAGGTGTTCTACCGTTTCATTCCTAACTTTCATCCTTTGACAAAATGAGAGATCATCTCTCCCCTGTAATTGTTAAGGCTTGTATCTAGATGTCCCCTCAAAGCCTCATGCACTCCTAGATGGGGCTTTTGGGAGGTGGCTGGATCATGGGTGTGTGGTACTAGATGATCCACTAATTTGTTTAGAGGTTCTGGATGTGGCTGAATGGATTTACTGAAAACAGAGGCCCCAACCTGGGTGAGGGTGGCATCAACAAACAGACTTATAGCTTGGATAGAATTTAAAGGGAAAGAGAGGCTAGCTGCTTGTGGCTGTTGGTATTTTGTGCCAGCAATGGGAAATGTGACCAAGATACTAACACATATTTTTAAATATGTTTTATAATAAATTATATATTACTAATTATATAATAATTATATATCAGAATATTATAATATTTATAATAATTTTTCTTTGTGCAGAATGGTGGAGTTTGTTTTGGGAAGCTGGTAAATGCATTAACATATCCTGATCATTTTCAATTCCATTAACCTCTTCCCACCAATCTCCTTTTCTGTCTCCAAAAATCTACCTCCTACTTTCCTGTCATCTCCTATTTTATTATTTATTTGGTTTTGTATATAAGAAATAATACACGATATTTAACTTTCTGAATTTGGTTAATTTCACTTACCATGATAGTTTCTGGTTCCATTCATCTTCCTGCAAATAACAAGATTTCATTTTTCTTTATGGCCAAGTAATTTTCCACTGTGTATATGTACCACATTTTGCTTACC